CCCATCACAGGGCACACTCACACACCAGTGACATATGCGCGCACACGCACGCACACACACACAAAGGCAATTTGACAACTCCAATTAGCCTCAGCATGTTTTTGGACCACATTGGGAAATCGGAGTACCCGGAGGAAACCCCATGATGACACAGGGAGAACATGCAAACTCCACACACATGGAACCCTGGCGGAGAATTGAACCCAGGTCCCATAGGTGGGAGGCGACAATGCTAACTACTGCACCGCCCCAATCACATATAAAATTGTTTTAAACACTTTTTATATGATGAAGTGATAAAACATAACCATGTTTCAGGGACTGCTGTCACATGCAGTTGTTGTCTTAATTTCAGTCAGAATTTTTGGGCTTGGATCAGGCAGAATACAATTTCCCCAAGTCTATAACTGTTCAACATCAATACCTCAATTTAAATTTCAACTTAAACTGCTTAGTTCACAGTGATAGTTTTAAGCCATTACTTTTAAACCAATATGACTGGTCTGCTTGGGGTTAACAGTGGCTTCATCACTAAAGGACTTGCTGTGACACGCCACACGAACACCAAGTCTGACGGTTAATGAAGCAGAGCGACTTCTTAAAACAGAACCACAGAAGTGGCCCTCGAGCCTCCTAGTTACTTCATTCTCATCAGTCAGACTGATGTGGTCACTGAAGTGTCACTGACGCCAAAGTCTCCTCAAAGGAAAAGATGTTAAATCTCTAAACCTCTAGAACACTTATGGTCATTCAAAGTAATCCAGGACATTTTTTCTTAGGGATTCTTTTGTAATTTCCAGTGTTACTTACTATCTATAAATTAAAGTAAATGTCTACGCCATAATATTCACCGATGGCTCCGAAAGGGACCTTCAGCATTAATGACTTGGCTCAGAGTCGACAAGCTACATTAACTTAAAACTTCACCACCACTAGACCACAACCACATTGATATAAAATTCAAATATTTAATTTTTAAGCTTCGGCTTCAGCAAAGCTCCAGCAAATATGGGGACTGTTTTAATTCAGCATTAGATGTCAATAGCATTGTGATCAATAGAATCATTTCCTATCTCTATTTACTAGCTATACATAAGTACTGCACCACAGCATAGGTACATCAGTTCCTATGAAAATGCTTAATTTACACCAGCATAATAAGCTTCACTTTCCTCCTCATCCATCCTCATTTATAATGAGTTTTTAACAACCACCAACTACAGCAAACCATCTAATAAGAACAGTAAAAGGAGGAAGGGGGATCTCAACGCTGATGAATAATCACACCTTGCTTATCCAAAATTATACTGTTGTCCATTTCTATTTTAAAAAATGGCAGGCTGAAGGAACAATCATTAGAACTGAAAATTAAGTTTAACAAATACAACTCATTTCTAGCGATGCTGGTGGAATTTACATTTAAATGGAAAAGAATTCCCCATCTGAATTTACAGATAACCTAAATCAAACAATTAAAAGCCGGCTGTCCCCATCAAGGCTCTCGGAGTATTTTCGTGACAATGTTTCCATGAAGGTCATTACCACAATCCCCCCAATATAAAAATAGGGCACTTATTGGCTTTTTAAAATAGAACAGATGTTTTGTTCCCAAGAGGCTCTGGTGCTGATCAAGTATTACACCTACAGTCAGCAGCCATACTACCTGCAGTTCAGAGTAGGTAATACATCTGATGCTAAGCAGGTTTGGGCCTGGCCAGTACTTGGATGGGAGACCAACTAGGAAAGTGAGTTGCTACTGGAAGAGGTGTTGGTGAGGCCAACAGGTTAGCCCATCCTGAGGTCTGTTGGGGCCCCAGTGCAATGATAGAGATACAGTGCTGTAAGAGTGGCGCCATCCTTCAAAAGATAACGTATAACCGAGGTCCTGACTCACTGTCATAAAAGATCCCTGGGCATCTTTTGTAAGGGTGGTACCCTGATGCCCTGGTTAATTGCCCACTATGGCCCTTTCAAATCTGGACTCCTAATTATCCACTACATCTAACTGATGAGTTCTCTCCCTCCCCTTTACCACCTTAACCACTGTGAGAAGAATGCACTGGCGCAGAATGGCTGCTGTTACATCATCCAGGTGGGTGTTGAAGTGGCTCCCCATTGGTTCACATTCAACACAGTGAATGACATCTAGTGATGTAAGGATAAGAGGAAAAGCACAGTGTAAAATGGAATACTGTATTTTTGATCAGAACAGTGTCTGTCACGGTAGTTAATACCAGTACTTTAGTCAATTTGTTCAGTGATGGGTTAAAGGAATCCTGGTATCACACCAGCTGTCTTTCACGATTAGCTAACAAGCTATCTTTTTAATCTTGGCCAACTGGTTTGATGAAGCTAAAGGTAAAAAGGCAGTTTAATTCAATTGTATTGCCCTTGTATTCCCAAGCACAGCAATCTTTTGTGAATGTATAACTGAATACTCCTTTATGTCAAAAAGGTAACTAATACTTTAGAAATGTGCTAAATAATATTCAACTGATATGTATAACTGAGTTGCATTAAGATTATTCAAGTAAAAAGTAAACAATATTAAGAAATACAATATCAGCTCATGGCAAAAAGATGACAGATACAGATGTGCTTGATGCCAATCATCACCAATCCTCCAGTACCGTGCAACATAAAAGGAAGACTGTATGAATCATGAATCTAAGGAGCACACTGCCTGACAGTCCCTAGACCCACTCCAGAGAAATCACCATATGCTGACGTGTGCTACTTCCACAAGCGTGCACTGGCTCTTAACAGCTTGTGAGTGAGAACAGATGGAACCTGCCTTGTTAATTCATCAGAATTTATAGTTCATCTAGTACATATTTTACCACCAAACCCATACAATTACCATGAGAATGTGCTTGAAGGGAGACTCTATAAATTTGAACATTTAAATTCCTGATGGACATTTGGGTTTGATGACACTATAACACTATGTTCATTGTCTATGTGTGTCCATCCACCCATTAATCAGACATCTTAGTCACAATCATGGGGTACATCCTGGATAGGATGGCAGTCCATGCCAGGGCACATACATGCACACAGCAACACAACAAATCAAACACTAATGGAACACACTACAGAGACACCAATTAAGGTGGCTGTATACTTCAAACAATGTCCAGACAAAATGAAATTGAACATGTCGACGCAAACAATCGGTCACATACTTAAAATGACGCTGCCGGCCTGTTTATTCAATGTCAGCCCAAAAGACTACAGCACGCAGAACGTTTTTGATGCAGCAGACCCACATAAAAAGCGCAAATAGACGTTCTATTGCATGTATGCGAGTCATTTTAATAAAGGAGATGACAGCTCTTTTAAAATAAAAGCTGCTCTCTTGATTAACAGCTATTATTAGTCTAATATTAGCAGCGGCAGACAGGTAATGCAACAATTTAAACAATACTCATGGTTACACACTAACAAAACACACACATTCCGCAGCAAACATTACATGATTACAACATTTACTATTTACAACATAAATACAAAAATACACATATTAATTTACACTATTATACAGATACATGCAGTGTGATGCAAACGATGTTGGTAACTGCATAATTAGTCCCCAGGGCAAAAAAGCTTGCTTCGGGGACCCTGCACAGGCGGCGAATCGAAACTGTGATCTCCACAGTGATTACAACTAATACAACATCGTATTGCTGAAATGATGTTGATTCCATTAATATAGTTTGAAGTATACAGCCACGTTTAGCCTGCAAGTGCAAGTCTTTAGACTTTGAAGAAAACAGGAGCATCTGGAGAAAACCTGCATGTCAAAGACATACCCCCAATGCTAGAGGTGTGAGAGCCAATGCTACCCACTGAGTTACTGTATTGTCTGTGTCGCTCATGGGTAAAATTATGGTCAATAATCATTATTTATACAGGCTTTACAAAAAATTTGTAACAAAAACATTATAACAGAAGGCAATGTGTGGATAAATTATACTGACAATTACTAATCAAACAAGCCTCTTTATATACCTATTTCTGTGATGTGCTCAGGACATGAGTGATAATTAGAAATTATATTAAAATTCAAAAACACACCTTAAAAAATAATCAAAGTACAGTATCCCTACCTCCTACTGTGCCCTGGTGATTCTGTTACAAG